AAGTGAATTCTACACCAAAATTCATAGGTTAGAAGTATTTTTATAGTTAATCAAAATAAGTTTTGTAGTATACCTCAAGGGAGCTTTCCTTAAGTTCTTTTGCGGACCTCCCTATAAGCTGCATAGCCTCTCGATTCCAAAGCAACAATGAGATAAAAGCGGTTCCATCCATAACTCGTACTTGAAGCCTATACCTGCAACTCAATTTTGATTAAAATTATGGTATTTTTTTAATATATAAAATTTTAAATAAACATAGATACTAATTACCTGTGAGTACATGAAAATTGATCTTCATTGCATTTCTTACAAATGTATTTATTTTCAACTTTATCAACCTTTCGACTACACTTGTTGCATGCCAAGTATGACCATCCCCGGTCAAGTTCCAAACTTACCAATTCTGCAGCAATCCAACAACTACTTTCCTATTTAAAAAAAACAAAAGTTTATTGTTAATGCAAAACAGAAAACATGAAGTACATATAATTGACAAAGTTAATTAAACTCACTTGCGTGCACTAAACTAAATCCCTAATAGTTTTGAACTCTACAATTCCTTTGTCTAACTCATCTCTAACAGAGTAACTTTGCTGAGAACTTGTTTGAGTGATTCGCTCAATGTTTGACGGACGTGCTGCAAGTAACCTACATAAGTAAAAAATTCTTATTTATAAATAGTATTGTTATATTTTGTGTGCATAATGAAAAGGAGTATAGACATAACAAACCTCGATTTAAATTCAGTAGACTGTGGTAACGTAGAGTTTATCCATATCTTTGTCTGAAACCAACAGCTACGCACAGAGTAATTGCCTATGTATGAAATAAAAAGTAAGTAGTGAATCTGAGCGGCAGCTTACTTAAAAATCTGGCTTTGGTTAAAGGTTTGTAAAAATTGAGTATTGTTAAAAAATATTGTAGGCATAAAAATATTTATACACTAAGCGTGGAAAAAACATGTTATATACAGTAAACCTCGATATTTATGAGGTTTCATATGCTGAAAAACAACAATCAACGACTCATCGGTCAATTCATTCAAGTAATGTTGAATTTGATCCACATGTTCGCTCCATAAGGTTGCCACAATCCTGTTCCTCCTATACGTTGCATAGTAAGGTTAATATAGACATATATAGGTAAGTTATCCATAAAAAAGTATTTAAAATTTTCAATTACTAACTGATCATCTTCGAGCACAATATTAATAAACACACTTTCGTCGTCTCCTTGCTTGTAGGTCTTAACATCTTCATAGGTGACAACCTGACCAACAACATCTATATATATATATATATATATATATATATATATATATATATATAGAGAGAGAGAGAGAGAGAGAGAGAGAGAGAGAGAGAGAGAAAGTGAGTAACATAGTTTTACCAATACCATTAATTCGTTACAAATGAAAAGAAGAATTACCACACAATTCTGTCTCATCGACATCTTGTTGATTCGTAAGTTGTCAAAAGGGCGCAAGTTAAAGATGTTCATATGAAATGAAGGATCATTTGTTTCCTCAACAAATGTCTTTTGAGTAAATGTTAGCCTCAGGTGGTGAGTCGTAGTCCTCAACTTCAGATTATTTGGTCCGACGACAAAGTAGTTCATACGATATAAGCGAAGTTCATGTATCTTGTTCCTAAAAAACTTGAGAACATACTTTCTGATTGAAGCATGTATACGATCACCCTACAAAATCAGATTCATTATTAGCACGCAATTATAAGCTCGTATATAGCGGAGATAACTGCCTAAAATTATCCTACCTATTTCATATGAAAAAGGAGAATGCTATATAGAGAATTTAACAGTCATGCATGAAGGAACTATGGTTGGGATCAGAATTTCATTATCTGAACATGGCTTTGAGGATAATTTTAAAAAATCATTATTTACAATTTTCTATACAGCAAATAAGTGAAACTCATACATCTAAAAGTGCCTTACTGCTACTGCTCCAAAAACGATACATTCTTGTATGAACTACTTTGTGGGAGTTTTATGGTGTATTAAGACTCCTTCTGCATAAACTACTTTGTCGGAGTGTTATGGTGTATTAACTTCTTTTAATATAACTGATCTCCATCTCTGTGTCAAGTTCTAAAACCAGAAAAATGTAAGTATATCGACAACAACAATCGCATATAAGTTATATATATACGAATTCTTGAATTTGCACATCCCAATTCAGATAGCTACATCAGTGATAAATATAAGTTTTATGAACATCAATAAGAACCAAAATGCTACACCAGGTATGCTCTTATCATAAAAAAATATAATGCAATTAGGAGGCTGCGACAAAAAAGATGAACCTAGCAACATCAACTTCATCAACTTTGTCATAATGCTGGATTAATGTGACTTATATGCGATTCATATAGTTGCCCAAGTCCTCCTTATATAGAATGCGACAACATTACTAAGTTTGGAACAAAGTTTGATATGTTACCTTAGAATCCTGTAAACACAATTGAATTGAATATGGTATTTCCGGCTTAAAGCGATCCGGCATTACCCACATTCGAACGACTCTAACTTTAAGGTTCCATTGCATTGAGCTGCCTGAAATTTGCTTGATATCATGAATTTGGGTCGCCATAGTTGCAAAGTAAATTAATCAGAATGGTATATTGAGCAGATAAAATATGAAGTTGAAAAGGTTCTGAAAATGTAAAGCACATAAATCCGATATATATAGATGTGCAGAAAAAATATAGTTTTTTGAATTGGAAGCCCACCTTTGGGAGGTAAATCATGGTGGGATAATGGCGAGGTTTTTGGAAGCCCACGTCCGCATTATCCCTTAAGGCAAAACGTGGGAAGTACATGTGAGTGTGGGAGTAATGGATCCCATAAATTGAGGGAGTAATGGAATTTATTTGAATTTTGATAACTGTTTACCTTTTTTTTTGCCATCTGAAATTTGCTTATTTTATGTGGACAAAGGGAATAAGGGACAGTTATAGTTGCTGTTTTATGCATCTCGGTGGAAAGAGTTTTTTTAGTGTATTTTGGGAGTTAAGTTGGAAGCCCACGTTTGGGAGTAAAGTTGGAAGCCGACAGTTTTTTAGTGTATTTTGGGAGTTAAGTTGGAAGCCCACGTTTGGGAGTAAAACAGGAAGCCGACGTTTGGGGGAAAAAAGCAAAGCCCACGTTTTGATTTTTCTGTATTTTCTTATTATTAGTTTTAAACCTTTTTTTTAGACATCACAATATTTTCAAACTCCAAAACTTGTGGAGTTTTGTCCTAAAGGAGTTCCACTTGGCTAATTATTGTTGTGCCACTTGGCACAATAATATGGCTTTGCTTCTCCTATTCTATATAGATAGATATAGATATAGATTTTAAGTCTTTCTTAAACTTTGTTTCCAAATAGTGTTTCATAGTTTCCAAAAGACGAGTCTCTTAAATAAAAAAGGGTAGATCAATATACTTAATTAATTAGAGCAATTCACATGCTGCAAATATAAAGTGATTTAACATGTCTGTTAGTCTGTACAGTGGAAAGGTCAAATCTGAACAAACAACATCACAATCTTGATTCTGCAGCATCAAATATTGGACCCACCTTGGGTTGCTGATTAAGGACTAATGATTCCCACCCCACAACGAATTTCGGAAAACAAATTGAAGAAAACTTATTCCATTTATTATGGATTCTCGCTTCATTTAATTATTATATCGAGCTTAAGTAATATACATTGTCAGTTTAAATTTTATTTACATTATTAAGTCACTCAAAAAATATTTACAGGTAAGTCTTCTTAATATATAAATTTTATATCTTAAAAATAAAGCAGGTTGCCTCCTACAATATATAAAGATGACCGACGGTATCAAAAAAGTTACACTAACAGTATTAAAACATAAACTCAACTATGATAAGTTGTTCTTTTGATGCAAATACCGAGTATGCATAGGTATTTTTTGGAGCAAATTAAATCTACGAAATTGTCACGTCAAAAGAAGAGTTAACCTAAATAGCCATCAGCCAACCTTTTAAATTAAAAATAGCCCGTAAATATATATCGTGTATAATCATATATAATTAGTGTATAATCTATATAAATCGGCAAAAAAAATTAAATTAAGCTTTGAATCCAGCCGGTTATTTGTTACTAGTCTATAATGCATGACTAGGAGTGTTTATAAAAACCCGAAAAATCGAACCAAACCGAAAACCAAACCAAACCGACCAAAAAAATTTATACTTTACGGTTTGGTTTCGTTTTGGTTTTGAATTTTAAAAACCGATCAAATTTGGTTTGGTTTTGGTTTTAATCAGAAAAAAAACCGGAAAAAAAAACGAATCAAACCGACTATAGGAGTAGCTATTTCAAATTTATTATTACACACACACACACACACACACACACACACATATACATATAGTATAGTTCCTTACCTTTATATTCTAGTTTGATTGGTAGTTTTCTTTTGTTAAGTGTAAGAATCCATTTTGTGTTAAAAATAATATATTTTTAATTGAGTCCTTAAATTATTCATTACTGTTTGATTCAATTATCATCAATATATCTTGGTAAATAATAGATTTCTCAAAGGGCAATTGATTTAATAGTGTTACGTTGAAAATGTGGTCGCCAAAATATGTGTTTGGTAGTGTATGTCTTATATTTAAGAAAAAACCGACAAATAACCGAAAAAACTGAAAAAACCGACAAAACCGACAATCGAGAAATAACCGATTTAATTGGTTTGGTTTGGTTCTAATATTTGAAAAACTGACTTACTTGGTTTGGTTTCTTTTAAGGGAAAAATCGATCCAAACTGAACCATGAACACCCATATGCAGGAGTTTAGAAGGTTAGAGCAACTAGGCTGTTCCATCGTGCTATGGTTGTTATGTCCAGATCATCAGGGTTGGTTCAAATGAATAATCGCAGGAAGAGGCTTTGATTAGAATGGCTATTGAAAAAAAGTCAAATGAATTGAGAATGATAGGACTGATTCTCAGTTTAGTAAATAGTGTTAGCTTAAATCTGTTAAATATCCGTCTTTAACAAATGATTAGATAATTACTAATTAATTAACACTCTACAGCTAAATCAGCATATTTTGCCAGTTAGAAGATGCTTCTCTGATTAAGCTTATCAGAACCTAAGTGGACATAACTTCTTGATTGATATTTGATAGTTATGTGACGACCCAAAGGGGTTATCACCGGATTTCTTTCTTTTTCCGTGCTTCCGAGACCTTGAAAACCTCACCTTTAGTTGCCTTGATTTGCGTGCGCAGTCCGGGCGCGTAGCCGGAAAGATTATATGTTAAACTCTGTGAAAAATTTCAAAATGTGGCTTTAAAATGATTAAAGTTGACTTCGGTCAATATTTTTGGTAAACGGACCCGGACCCGTGATTTGACGGTCCCGGAGGGTCCGTAGAAAATATGGGACTCGAGCATGTGCCCGGAGTCGAAATCCGAAGTCTAGAACCCGAGTAAAAGAATTTTTCTGTGAAATTGTTTTTCTGAAATTATTAAGGAAAATGGAAATGAAAATTGATTAAAAGACTATGGTATCGGGCTCGTATTTTGGTTCCGACGCCCAGTACATGTCTTAAATAGGTGTTAAGCGCTTTCTCTAATGTTTGGTCGGAATCGGACGTCATTTGGCGTGTTTCGGACCTAAATATCTAAAGTTTGAAGTTTGTGATGTTAGAATGAAAAATGATGATTTTGATGTTTGATTCATTGATTTTGATGTTGTTTTGGCGATTTGATCGCTCGAGTAAGTTCGTAGGATGTTGTTGAGTTAGTCCATGTGTTTGGTTAGGAGCCCCGAGGGCTCGGGTGTGATTCGGATGTGTTTTGGGATGGTTTTAGCCTTAGAAATGTTGCAGATCTGCTGTCTGCTGTTGTCCAGTTGTTTGTTCTATGCGATCGCATAGCTTTGTCCGCGATCGCATAGTGTAACTTGTTCAGGGGTCCATTTTTGTTGTATGCGATCGCGTAGATCTTTCTGCGATCGCATAGTGTTAAGTTGAGAAGCCCTTTATTTTCTTCTACGCGATCGCACAGTTCCGTTCGCGATCGCGATGCCCGACCTATTTCTTCTATGCGATTGCATTGTCCTTTCTGCGATCGCAATGGACAACCTTCCTACCCCTATGCAATCGCATGACTTTCTTCGCGATCGCATTGAGCATTTTTCTGCCCAGTTATTTTTAAATTACAGAAACAGTAGCTTCGGGACTTTCCTCATTTTTCCACACGAGCTCTTCTCCCTAACACCCCATAGACGATTTGGAAGAGCCTTTTCCTCCATTGCTTCTTACGTAAGTGTTCTTAACTTCATTCTCTCTTAATTTCTTCATCTAATCACTAATTTCCTAACCCTAAGTCATGAATTCAAAGTAGAAATTAAGGGTTTTGGGAATTTTGGGTGATTCAACCTCAATTTGGGGTCAAATCTTAAAACAAATTATATATTTGAACTCGTGGGGTTATGGGTGACTAGGTTTTGGTCCGAGCCTCGTGTTTGGACCATGTGGGCCCGGTGTCGAATTTTGATATTTTTGGAAGAATGCTAGAAAACTCATTTCTAGGCTATGGGATTATGTTGTTGAGCCCTAATTGATATTATTGAATTAATTATGCCTAGATACCATTGTTTCGGAGTCGGATTGTAGAGGAAAGGCGGTATTTGAGGATTGATTGCTATTCTTTGGACCGAGGTAAGTGTTTGATCTAACTTTGGCATGAGGGAATAGGATTAGAGTGTTATTATTGCTAAATGCTAAATGATCGAGTACGGTGTATAGGCATGGTGACGAGTATCTATACATCGGTGTCTAGCATGACCGTGGGTCCTTGTTTGCACGTATTTCTGATATATTTGAGGCTCTTCTATGCTAATTGATGAATTCTACATAATGTGAAGAGTTTGAGGATTGGTTATGAATTGTAAATTCTTTGGAACGTTGGCTCGAACAATAAAAATACTATTGCGTAAGAAATGAAAGAAATGGAAAGAGATATGATTAATCCCTTGCCGGGATGGTTTTAGTATATTGATTATCTCCCTTGC